TCAAGAATTTTTATGACTTTTATTTCACATTTCCCAAATGAATCCAATCACCTGTTTCAGTTTGTATTAATAAATGTTAGCGAGAGGATAAGTCAGGAAAGAACTCGGAGTTTACTTCCTGCCAATATTTTCTTCAGTTACGTATTCTCATCAGTTAGGGCCCTCTCCCAATTACATAGGTGATGTTGTTGTTGTTATGCGCTGTCCACTCGATTGTGTCCCATAGTGACCCGCTATAGGGTTTGCGAGGAGTGGCTGGTGAGCTTGAACCGCCGACCTTGTGATTCAAACCGACTTTGCAGTCCAAGCACCACACCAGGACTCCTCTTTTCACTTTAGTAGCCTGTATATATTATTTTGTTGATTTTAAGTTCCAGTGTTACAGCTGAGAAATCTGATCTCAGATTTCCAGATCTTAGAAACTTGAAAGATTGGCTCTATTATTTTTTATTTCTATTTAGAAGTTAGAAAATAACTGGATTCGTCAAGATACATCTATCAGTCTAGCCTGAAACTTAGCTCATTCAGGCAGTCTCAAGATCTATCTTTAATCTCATTAAAATTTCTTCTGTGGCCTGTTTAATTAATATATGTTGTTTAACTTCTCATATTTCTCTACTTGCATTTCTATTTTTGCATATTAGAACTCTTAGATCTGTCTTCCATGTCTCTTCTTTTATAATTTTCAGCCATCATTACTTTTCTGCCCTGTTTTTTTTTTTTTTTTAAACTTTCATTGTGAATTGAGTGGTAATTTACATGGGAGAACAATGGTTTTGTACTCAACCTATTGCATTTTGTTTCATTGCCGTGATTACAATCCCCTCCATGCACCATTGGCTAACAGTATTTGCCTCTATTCTCTCTCACTTTTTTTTTTTTGATGTACACAAAAACACACAGGAATATATAATCATTTAAACAACCAAAGGGCACATTCTTCAAGCCAGCTTCCTGGCCGCCAGCACACAGCCTTTCTCTTTCCATGAGTCTGGAGTCCTCAGCTGCTCCCTCTCTCCGTGTCCTCATCTCTGCCTCCATCTCTGGTGTCACCGCTTCTCTAGATAGGGCCCCACATTCTGCTCATGCTCTTCACCCTTGATGGTCCTATGGTCCTTTGTTCCTGGACTGTAAGATTAACTCCTCCCCCTTTTTTGTTACAGATCTTCTATCTTCATAGTTGTGACAATCACACTTATTCATGATCACAATTACTATTGAATCAAAAGACTCTTACCCCATCTCCTTTCACCAGACCCATCTAGACAAGATGAGAACTATTCATTGGGGATTCTACCTTTCCCCACACACTCTGAAACTAAACTCCCTCTTGAAAACTTGTTAGCCAGCCACTTCATGCCTTTTTACCACCCCCATTTTAGGTAGCCATTGTCTAAGTTGCCCCTCCGTGTCTACCCTGTGTATAGAGGGGATAGCATTGATCCTTGATGTGAAGACTCCTTCCCTCTCAATTGGTATTTTGAGCTCCATAAGTATAGGTATTTGACCTCCATAAGTATAGGTCAAGTTCATCAAAATTGTAGCAATGTACAATTGCATCCTGTCTCAAACTTCTTTATCTTCCTGTAGTCACATTCTGATTATCAAGCCATCCAAGCTGGGTCAAATCGGTACTTTCTGTAAGTTTGTTGCGCTGTGTTTTGAAGTATGATAATCTCAGTAGGGGTTAGTAATACCTTCATTTAAGTTATAAACTTTGGAAATTATATGCTGTGTATCCAGGAAGTCTTGTTCTTCGTTGCACTGTAATCTTCTTTAGGAGTTTTCATTATTTTTCTGCCAAAGGTGTTTTCTGTCTCTTCCATAACTGAATGTCACTGGCCAACTGATATTCCTGTTTCAAGCTACTAGACTACCTTGGTGTGTGCTTATTTTTTATCATCAATCTGTTGAAATTCAGGTCTGGACTAAAGAGACACTGTGTCCTGTGGACCAGGGGTCTAGTAGCAGACAGTTCACCAGTCCACTACGGCAGCACTGGGGTCCACTGGCTTCCCAGACTCGGGACTCTACCTGCCCTTCTGTAGCTGCTTGGCCTCCTGGGTGTCAGTGAGACTAGGCACCCTCATATGGGGCTGATGCTAACCACCTTAGCCCTAATCTCCCAGTATTACCAGGAGTCCACAGGTCATATGGGCTGAGCCCCAGCAAGGATCTGCCTCTCTTCCTCACACAGGACTGTCTAATACAGTTTCTAGTCTCTCATTTTACCTGTGGAAGACAGGGCTTGAGTCTCGTCTCTTTTCTGGAGTTACCATGGAACCCAAGGTTCCCCTTATGGAACCATTCCCAAGCAGTAGCAGTCCTGTGACTTAGTTCAGGCATAGTTGTAACTGGAGAGAGAAGGGAAGAGCTGCCTTTGTGTTTTCAGCCTCCCAGAGTAGGCCTATTTTCTTTCTTTCTTTTTTTTTTTTAATGTTTTATTATGAATTATGTGATAGTTTACATGGGAGAACATTAGTTTTATATTCATCCTATCGTATATTGTTTCATTGCCATGGTTACAGTCCCCTGCATGCATCATCAACCAACCAAAGGTATACGCTACAAGCCTGTCCCCCCAGTTGTCGGCACACAGCCCCTCTCCCTCTCTGGGTCTGAAGTCCCCAGCTGCTCCATCTCTCCACATCATAGTCTCTGCCTCCATCTCAGGCATCACTGCTTCTCTGGGTATGGTCCCACTCTCCCCTCTTCTCCCTTGATGGTCCCAGGGACCTCCGCTCCTAGACTGAAAAGTTAATCATTCCCCTCCTTGCTACAAAATGTCTACCTTAACATTTCCAACCCTCACAATCAGTCCTGATAACAGTTATTCACTATTGTATCACAAGAGACCTATCCGCATTTCCTTTCATCAGCCCCGCCTAGACAGATTGGATACTACTCATTAGAGAGTCTACCTTCCTCCACGCCCTCTGAATCTAGGTTCCCTCTTGAAAGCTTGTAAGCCAGTCACTTCTTGCCTTTGTAGCCCACCACCCCCCCGATTATGGGTAGCCAATGTCCATCCCTGTCTACTCTGTGTGTGGAGGGGGTGGGAATGATCCTTGCTGTAAGGACTTGTTCCCTCTTTTGAGCTACTGCATCCATAGGTGTAGGTCAGGTTCATCAGATTGTATCACATTACTCTTTTTTTCCTCTTCTTTCTTCTTCTGGTTGAATTCTGATCATCCAGTCATTGAAGCCAGGTCAAATGGGTATTATCTGCAAGTGTGGGTGTTCTTGTGCATATACCCTCTCTTCTTATCAGCTGGACGCTTCAGTCTCCATTCTAGTCCTCTGTGGCTATGTCACTGACTCTAGGTCCAAGAGTCCCCAGGTCTTGCCACACTGCTGGCCAGCCAGGTCTCCACCTGGGTTCACAGGAGTCTATTGAACATTGTAAGGCTTAGCTCACAGCTTCATTGTTGTTTTTCCTTCACTTCCCCTTATCAGTGACAAGCGTAGTCACCAATCAGAGCGTGTATTCCCATTGAGTCTTAGTCTTGGAAGGGGGTTTACACTGAGGCAACCCGACCACTTGCCTTGTTATCTCCTGGGCAAGCAACTTGCTTGTTTTTGTACTAACAGTCAGTCTGCCTATATTGTTTTTTATTTTTCCTGTAGATCTTTCTTTCAAGAAATATCTTCTGTTCTTCTAGCCACTCCAGGCTTGTCTGCTTGTCCTTTCAAGTGTAAATTTCCCATCTCTGGAGATCTGGGTGTGGTTCAGGCTTCCACCTGTAGTCTTATGTATTGCAGAGGCTCTACAGGAAGCCTCCTTCACTGGGCACATTGTAGCCCCATTTTAGGCATTCTAATCAGTTATAGGCAGAAGACGGACTTACAAGCTTTCTATGGTGATGTTTCTGGCTATTCCTTTCTCTCCCCCTCCAGTGTCTATTCTATAATATAATGCAAGGAAAACCAAGATTCAAAAGACAGCCAAGCATCTTAACATTATTCCTCCCTTTTCCCCATTCTAACCATGTCTCAATCTCTGTATCCTACAGCCCTGTTGTTACAAGGTTGTACATACCTATTTTCTTTTAATAATGCTTTTCTTTAAGCAATTAGTGTGAAGAAACACTTGCTGCATTGTTTTAAATCGCTTCTATTGTATTGTAGTTTGTTGGTTGTTACAATTTAATATTCACAACGTCTTTTTTGCTCTTCTTGCAGTTTTTAAAAAAGTGTTTTTAATATAATCTGTAGTTCTAAGGGTTTTTTTTGTTTTGTTTTGTTAATTCCATAAAATAACTGTGATGATAGTGGTCTTTATTGCTTAAAATAAAAAGATGTTTTATGGGTGTTTTTTGAAAGTTGGTAAGTGCTTGTAAAATGCACTGAATTCAGGGTATAGTATGTTAATGATAGCACAGTAATTCCGAGAGTGGTAGTGATCATATTTGCACAGCGTGAAGAATGAAATTGCTGTCAGTGGATTATGCATGTGTGAGGGGGCATCAAAAGTTTGTGGAAATGTTCATTATCTTTTTGTTCTAGTTTTTCATGAACTTTTTGAAGCCTCTTCTTAGAAAACATGAAAGTGACTAGTATTTTTGTTGGATATATTTTTACCACAGTAATTTTTAAATGCACTGAAGTATTTGCTGTGTACATCCCTTTCCTTTTTCCTTTTCTCATAAATATTGTTGGTAAGTACCGTCGAGTCGGTTCCGACTCATAGCGACCCTTTATAGGGTTTCCAAGGAGCAACAGCCGGGTTTGAACCACCAACCTTGTGGTTCACAGTCAAGTGCTGATCCTACAGCACCACATCAGGGGTCTCCTAAAAACTCGAAATGTTATTATTCATTTGGATGACTTCTTGTTAAGTGCCAGCGAGTTGAGTCTGTTTCAACCCATAACCACAGGGTTTCCGAGGAGTGGCAGGTGGATTTGAACTGCTGACCTTGTGGTTTACAGTCCAGAAGTGATCCTACAGCACCATCCCAGGAGACCATGCATACATAGTTTTCTTTGTTATGTGTTTCTAGGTCAGCATGGCCTCACTGAAAGAATTGGACCAAAGGCTCTTTGAAAGTTACATTGAGTTGAAAGCAGATCCGATCGTTGGCTCCCTAGAGCCTGGCATTTATGCGGGCTGCTTCGATTGGAAAGACTGCCTGCCTCCAACAGGTAAGGGCCTTCAAGTCCCTGGCGTTCTCTCGGAGGATGAGTCTAATGCATCCGGGCTAGTAGGTGAAGATATGGTTTCATCCATTCATGTAGGCTTACAATGCTTTTCTTTTTACTTAGATTTTTTTCGTATTTACTGAAAGTTAGAGAGATTAGTTTGATTTTAACTTCTTGTTAGCTTCAAACCTTTTCTGATAGCTTAGAATTTAGTACATTTTTTTATTATTAATATTTAATGGCTTGAAAGTTATTCTTAAATTTCAGAGGACAATTAATTATATACCTTATAATAACTGACAATGTTAGATGTATGCTTCTTATGGTATACTTTTATTGTATAGCTATAATAGAATGATTCTGAGTGACAGTTTTATACAATGACCTTGTGACTGTCATAAAAAAAAAATGTGTTTAAGAAATCTGGTCACTTCTCTGTAAGGCCCAATTACGGATGCTATAGACATGGGGGGGGGGTGGTAAAAGGAAAATGTGTAGGAGTAAGATTATTATAGTCATTTAGTGAAACCCCAGAAGGCACACTGACAGAAACACCAGGATTATCTTTGTGATATCAAATGACAGCTGCTTAAATTACTTCATAATATACCTTTTACAAAGAACCATTGCTTGCTGAATCAAATAAGCTTTTTGATTGATGAAACATAATTTCTTGGTATGAAGCAGTGTGGGATACATGTGTGACTGATATTCTAAACAGCTGACTTATAACTACACTAGTGAATTGTTTTGCCAATTTGGATTAATCTTCGTTCTTTAAACGAATCATATGAAGTATCTTTTGTTGTGACTGTGTAGTGGTCTGGTAGCGTAATGGTTACGAATCGGGCTGCGAACCTTAAGGCCAGCAGTTCGAAACTACCAGCTATTCCGCGGGAGAAAGATGAGGCGTTCTGCTCCCGTAAAGATTTACAGCCTCGGAAACCCTGTACAGGGTCACTATGGGTCGGAAATGACTCGACAGCACTTAACAACAACAACAAATCAAGGGATTTACTGTCTGTGCACCTCTGGTCTTTACAGTGAATTCATATAGAAGAATAATAAATACAGTGCATCAAAAGTCTAAAATAAAAACCATCGTAAAATTAATAATGTTTTATGTGACCAAAGGTATTTGTCTGAAATCATAGTCATTGTAGTCCTTTGAGGCCTTCTACTGTCCCCTGGCCACAAGTTCTCTTGGTTAAGCTTGGTTACTTTTTCTACTCACATGATTTATTTTTCCCAAACGGGACTGCTGTTTACGTCCCAAATATATCCTTCAACAATGGAAATCAGATCTTGTTAATATCGTACGTAAATCTGTGCGGTATCTTTGAATTGTACCCACAATACAATCTGTGTGTCTAACTTGTACCTCAAAGCTATGTACGAACTGCTTTCATGTCTACTGCCACGTTATCTTTGCCCTGCCGCTGCCCCACCACATTCCAAGCCCACCGGCAGACCCTGCCACTGCTTGGCCTCTCCACAGCATTTTCTCCCTGCTTAGTCGGTCTTCAAGGGCTGATTCCCTTCTGTGATATATCAACTTCTATCAACACCAGCCAGCCAGTCTGAAGTCATGACATGATAGCTGGAGACTCCGTGTGGAGTTTTAGTTTTACCCTCTGAGAATTACTATTTCATTTATAAGTAATTGCTTACAAGGAAGACTGCTGCTGATTTTGTCCATAGTTTTAAGACCGTTTAATGAGCTGTTGAGCTCATTAGAGCTAAATCAATGAGATTGATCACAAAAAAGGTGTCGTCGATTCAGTTCTGACTGATGGTGACCCCGGGCAATTGTTTGAGCCCACTGTTGCAACTACTATGTCAGCTTAGCTGATTGAAGGTCTCCCTATTTTGTTGCTGACCCTCTACTTACCAAGCATGATGTCCTGTTCTATTGGTAAGACTTTCTTCATGACTTATCCAAAGTTGGTGTTATTATTGTGTGCCATCAAGTTGGTTCATAGCGTCCCAGAATTATGTGTCTAAAGAGCAGCTGGTAGGTTTGAACTACTGACCTTGTGGTTAGGAGTCCAGTACTTATCCTACAGAGCCAGATGGAATGAAGTCTCAACATCCTTGTTTCTAAAAAGTATTTTGATTCTAGTTTCTCCAAGATGGATTTTTTTCTTCTGACAGTCTGCAGTATATTCAATACTCTTCACAAACACATTTGAATGTGCCAGTTCCTCTTTGCTTTTCCTTTTTAATTGTCTAGCTTGTGCAGACATAATTTAAAAGATCATGACTTAGATAAGGAGCACATTAGTCATCAAATACACATCTTTGCTTTTTAGAACTTTTAAAGTCTTTTGCTGCAGATTCGACCAATGCAATAGCATCATTTGATTTCTCGACTCTTGATATCATGGATGTTGATTGTTGATCAAAGTAGAATGAAATCTTTGAGAACTTCTATTCTTCTCTGCTTGTAACAATGTTAATTACTGACCCGGTTTTGAGGATTTCCGTTTTTTGTGCATTCAGGCATACAATCCATACTGAAGACTAATCTCTTACCGTCACTAATTAAGTTTTTCCAATTGTCTTCACTTTTGGCAGGCCAGGTTGCATCATCTGCATGTTACAGTTTGTTAGTGAGCCTTCCTCCAATCCTGATGCCACGTTCTCGTTTATAGAGTCTAGGTTCTCAGAGCACATGGTTGGTCAGCACACAGAGTAAATTACGTAATGTGAACAGATGCTGCCCGTCTGCACACTTTTCTAATGTTAAACTCTTGGTGTCTCCTGGTTATGTTCAAATAACTGCCTTCTGACTTACATACAGGCTCTGCATGAACACAATGGAATTCCCATTCTGCATAATATTACCCATGATTTTTGTTTGGAATTTGTTGTGGAATTTTAGAGACCCCTTGTTTATAGCACATATAAATTGTTGTTGTGTTGTTATTGTTAAGTGTCGTTGAGTTGGGTCCAGTTCATAACCACCCGATATAGGGTTTGTATGGAGCAGTTGGTAGGTTTGAACTGCCAACTTTGTGATTACCAGTCTAGTGCTTATCCTACAGTGTCACATCAGATAAAGTAATTTATGGGAAAAGGAAAGCTATGCCTCACTGTGCCAAACTATTGGGGGAGGAGGAAAACATTTTTATGATGCGTGGCATTCATGTGACTATTGCCAGTCTACAGATAAGATCCTCAATTATTGACTGCTTATTACCATCTAGAGCAGGGTAACTCTCCTGCATACCCATAATAATACACCTAATGGCAGGCTCCAGGGTGCCTAATTTTGACAGTAAGCAAAAGTTATTAAACATCTGTTGTTAAAACAGTGTGCTAGACAACATATTCAGAAAGTGACCAGAGTCCGTGCATACATCTAATCATGGCAACACAAGACAAAGCTCTTCTTACATCTGTGCTGCTGCTATTCAGGAGAATTTCACTTTTATTTGAAGGTTTCTACCTTTCAGGAGAGTCAGAGAAAAAGAGGAAGGCCACCAGCGAGATGGATTGGCCAAGTGGCAACATCAGTGGGCTCAAGTGTGGCAACAATTTGTGAGGATGGCCCAGGACCAGGCACATGTTTCGTTCTGTTGTGCATAGGGTTGCTATGAGTTGGTACCGACTCGATCGCACCTAATAACAATCCTTTCAGAATCTGTCTTTCATACCTGTTCACTGAAGTCTACTGGTAATACTATATAATTAAATCATCCCTTGCATCTTATAACTTTAATTCAAAGCTCCAAGCCAGGTTAGAATTTCTAGGGAATAAGAGACATGCTAAAATGATGAAGATAGGAAAAGATTATTTGTTAATTTGGTTTTCAAGAACTAGAAAACTATATTCCTGAGGGCTTAGTACAGCTCCCTGAGAAAGTGAATGATTTAAATATTTATGAGCCTACTGAGCTGTGTGTGCTATATGATGGCACACGTTTATAGACCATGCACGCGCATAGAGTAGTTCTGTGTATGCACATGGAGTCCTGATGGATCTGTAAGATAACCACTGCACTGCTAACTTCAAGATTGCCAGTTCAAACCCACCAACCACACCTTGGAAACAGTTGCTATGGGTCAGCACCAACTCCATGGCACTTACCAACAACAGCATGTATAGCTCTTACGAGGAAAAGTCAGAGAATTGCTATTAACTTTCCAGTTCATATGTTGTTGTTAAGTGACGTCGAGTCAGTTCCAACTCATGGCGATGCTGTGTAAAGTTTCCGAGGAGCAGTTAGTGAGCTTGAACCGTCGACCTTGAGCTTCAAATTGACCTTGCAGTCCAGTGCATTAACCCACAGCGCCACACCAGGGCTCCAGCTCATATATTCATGGGTTTATTCCAAACAGAACTTATTTACTCACGACACTGTAGGTGAATTCAGTGGACTGCAAAGTTGGCAGTTAAATCCCACCAGCCACTCTTCAGAAACCCTATGCAGGGTTGCTGTGAGTCAGAACCGACTCAACGGCACTTACCAACAACAACATTGATGTCTGGATTTGGCGTTGTACATAAGCACTGGACTGCAAGGTCAGTGTGAACTGAATTGTCAGCAGTTCAGACTCACTAGCTGCTCCTCAGAAATCCTATAGAGGGTCGTTTTGAGTCAGAACAAACTCCACAGCACTTAACAACAACAACAAATGTGATCATTGGGAGTGTGGTGGCTCCATACAGTAAGCACTGGACTGGGAACCACAAGGTTCACAGTTCTAGCCCGCCTGCCACTACATGGGAGAAAGATGAGGCTTTCTGCTCCTGTGAAGATTTACAGCCTCAGAAACCCTATGTAAGGTCGCTGTGAGTCCGAACCGACGCCACGACTCTTAGCAGCAACAACAACAATGCGATCTTTGAGTGACTTCAGACAGGTTCTCTCAATAATACGTTTTGTCTTCGTCTCCTTAGGGTGCCTTCAGGATAGAAGTCCAGTCCTAACAGGGGCTTCCTTCAAGGCAGAAATGTATGCACACAAGGTTTGTTGTGGTGTTGTTAAGTGCCGTCG